AAACTGCCCTAAACCCTAAACTCTAAGCAAAACCTTAAAACCCTCTAGAATTTTTGGAAGTCTTAAAGGAACCCCCGCTAAACCCGAAACCCTAAACCCCAAACCCTAAACCCCAAACCCTAAACCCTAAACCCTATACCCTGGCCACTATACCCGAAACCCTGGCCCCTATACCCGAAACCCTGGCCCCTCTACCCTCCTGGCCCCCCTACTCCCTGTATCTACCCATGGAACCTCCAAGAGGCTGCTGAGCACTTCTGCCGAGCAGGCTCTGGCCCTGGGACCCTTTTTGGGATCTATACTAAGGGCTCTACTAAGGGTCTATAACTATAAGGGCTTCATTTTGCATCTTTAAGGGATCTATAAAGGCTCTACTAAGGGTTCCTGTTAGGGATCTATAAGGGCTCTGTAAGACATCTATAAGGGTTCCTGTAAGGGATCTGCTAAGGCTCTACTAAGGGTTCCTTTAAGGGCTCCAAGGGCTCTATAAGGCATCTATACGGGCTCCTTTAAGGGCTCTAAGGGCTCTATAAGGGCTCCTGTAAGGGACCAAGGCATCGTCCACCGGTACCATGAGACAAGAGGACAATCAGGATCTACGAGACGCAGTAAGAAGAGCCGGAAGTCCTCGTTGGCATTTTCTCCAGAGAAGACGGATCTTTACCCATTCTCTCCGAGCCCGGGGAAAAGGCGGACAGCGATTTGGGAGCCGCTCTGAAATAGAATTCGAGAGTAACTTCAGAATAACTAGTAGTGTCCCTGTATAATTACTTATTATAGTATCATATACCCAAAACCTTATTCTTATGATTATTCAGGCGGCTACAGTAGTGCTATAGAGATTTAATTTGGCCTTTCGGAGATGGGTTTTTGGTATTTGGAGTTGAGGGTTGTGGTGGCTTGGTATATGTGCTTGTGGGTTTCAGGAACCAGGATTCCACGGCTGTCTTCGAATTCCGTAAATTCGTGACGCTACTTTGGGCTCTTTATCCGCCTAACCCCTGACCTTATGCCCGCCTCGCAACCCAAGAACCATGAACGCTAGGCCACCCTACCCACAGGGCCGTTAATCCTGGACCCTGGGCCCTGAGCCAAAAACCAAAACCCTAAACCCCCAGGCCTCGTAGAAGCATGTGAAACTTTGCCTGCGGAAGGGGCAGCTTTCCGTGCTGAAGTTCCTCGTCCACGATCTCGGGGCCCGGGCCTCACTCCCGCCGTATCTCTTCGCCCTATCAGGCTCACGGTACTGTTGATGACGGTGACGACGATGCCGATGATCCCTATGATAGCCATGATGATAATTACCATGGTTATGATGGTGATGGTGGTAGCGGCGCATGCAGGCAATCCAGGGTCATGCGCCGAAGGCCCGGTTTGACAAGCTCAACCAGCAGGATATCACCCGTGCAGCACCCATCTGCTTCCATATGATCTACGGTGCCAGGATGTAGAAGACCCCCAAACCATGTGTTATGGAACTTATGTTACCAAAATATTCTGATCATAAGAGCCCTGTCTTAGCTACATTGCAAGCCTAGGCCCCTGAACCCTAAGCCCTAAACCACCAAACCGTAAACCCCCCAGGTCCCGGTCGCCGAAGCCGCGCCGGGCTCGGGTGCCACCCCACTACACGTGGCTGCAGGAGCGGGGGCGCTCGAGGCAGGGTTGCTACTTTGGGCTATCAGGGTTTGGGGTTTAGGGTTTAGGGTTTAGGCTTCGGGGTTCTACCAACTTGAGTGTGTAACACTAGGGCGTAGAGGTTTTGCAAAAGATGTGTAGAGCTAGACGCATGAGATCCCAAATCCCGCAAAATAGCTATATACCACCTGCTCTTCCTCCACACATCCTCCTTCTCTTCTAATAGTGCCCAGGAATAATCACTTGCTTTGTCCTATTCTTCTCCTTCTTCTTGTATGTCCTGCTCGTACTGCTGGTCGTAGTGGTAATAGGTGTACTAGTGCTGTCAATGGCTTCAGGGCTTCGGGCTCTGGCGTATGGGATGCAGGGGTTCAGGGTTTGGTTGGGGTTTGTTTGTGTTTCAGGCTTAGCAGCTGAATGTCTGGGTTCGAGCAGTGGCTGGTCGGTTGCCACTAACCATGCAATTATGCCGCTGCGTGTGATCGTGGTAGATTTATTGGCGCCCACGACGAAGATAAGGACGCAGGAAGAAGAAGAGCAGTAACAGTAGGATGGCACAGGATGGCCATGAAGATATTGCTATTGATCATGGTGATGCGGATGATGACAACTTCACTTTCTTTTTCCGTGCCCGCGTCAGTCGAAATAATGATGCAGCTCTCGGTTCGTCTGGGTCCGTCCATGCAGAATGTACAGTCGGGTCAGTAGTTCTTACAGTCTGTGCATTTAGCAACTCTCAGACATGAGCTCGCTATCCCGAGTCCGACATTATGCCTGATGATGACATCGATGGTGACGATGGGGAGCATAAGTATAATGATGATGATGATGATGATGATGATGGTGATGCTCAAGATGATGGTGACGATGACGATGGTGACGGTTATCTTTTACGCTGCTTCTCTGCCTATTGCTGGATTGTGACCGAGGGCTCTGTCTCATGCAACAACGATGAAATGCTGGGATAGACAGGGAGGCCCCCTCTCGGAACTGGTGTTCATGCAGCGTTTGCTTGTTGGTTCGTGGGTACATGGAAGTTGGGTTGAAAGCAAGGTGATTGCAGGTAGTCTCTTGCAGCTAAAAAACCTGGTCTACAGCTTCATAGGAACCTCATGATGCTGAGACAACCTGGAGGTCCAAGACCCTTTTTAAATACAGCCTATATAGTATATTGTTGTACATTATGGTAAATTTCAGTATAGTCTGCTGCATGATAGCATATCACGGTTTATCATTATATCGTCGTCTATCATTTAGTATCATCACGAAGTTCTAATCACTTCGCACAAGCTGGGTGCTGTGCAGTGCGCGAGGTTGTTGGCTGGCTGCTGGAGGCAGTTGTTTTGCACCGTAGCCCCAGTCACACAGACGGACGGACAGCCATGCATGCATGCATGCACGCATGCATGCATCCGTGCATGCATACATACATGCATGTTTTTGTGCGCTGTGCAGACACCAATCGGGTGCAGGTATGTATGCATGTATGCTGCTGGCTGCATCATGCTCCAATATTCCTACGAGAGGGAGAGACAAAGCAACAGATCTCCAAACATGTCTGTCAGCAAAGCTCGCGATGTTCGTACTGTCTTTCCCATTTCTTTCCTACTTTGGTTGGAAAGGTTTGCGGCGTCTCGCCAGACGTGCGCGATGTCCACGGAGCTACTTTGCTTCAATGGCCGCGAAGTTGTTGAGCGGTTCAGAAGGTCGGGCACGAACATATCTTAGACTGCACCTTGCAGGTCTTCTCCCTCATCTCTTGTACCCCGATGTGTCTGCGTCGGCGTGTGCGCGCATATGCAAGTGGTAGGTCCAGAATCCCGCGCCGTATTCGGCTCGCGGCTAGTCCGTTTAAGTTCAGTTTGAGGGTGCAACCTGAACACATTGAAGCGAGCAATTCAGACTTGTTGGTATTAAGCGCCACATGCTCGTGTTCCCGAAACCGCGCCTTCACCCCAAAACCCAGAGCTGTACTGGAAAAAAAGTCCACTCCCTCAAAAAATTGGATCCCTGTCTCGACTCCTGTATACATATATACATATATATGTATGCATATACTTAATAATCATATATACATACGCACTATAGTGTATGGTCATCGAACAGCGGATATGGCCATATGGCAGTCCCTCATCGCGGCATTCTTGGCTTAAGGTTTGGGGCTGAGGGTTCTGGCGCTTGGGCTAAAGAAGCTCATGAACCGCCCCAAACCCTAAACCCTAAACCCTAAAACCTGCAAAAGCCCCCCGTGCCCAGACGACTCCCTGTCATTGGTGCGCTCGGTCGGGAAGCGTTCCCGTACTGGAGCTGCTGGAGCAGGCCGGTGACTGCAAACCTGACGGTTTAAGGTTTAGGGTTGAGGGTTTAACATAGGGGTCTAAATAATTTCCTATACTATTTTGGGGGGCTCCTTATTATCATTATGGTATAAAATACCCCCAAACCCCTATTCTAATTATTAAGGCCCCTATATTGCACAGTAGGCCCTATACAATAGAGGGTCTAACATTGTCATTGTAACATGTCGAAATATGCACCATATCCCTACACTTTAAGACTACGCCCTTGAGAAACCTTAAACCCAAAAGCAACCCGAAATTTTCAACCCCGGACTCCACTTGCCTGTCTGGGGTTGGGCATGCAGGGTTTGGAATTTATGGACTTGGTTCAGGGCTTGTGGTTTGGCATCTCAGGGTTTGGGCTGTTTGAGGCTTTACGGAGCTTTGTTAGGTTTTTGTAAACGTTTCTTACTTAGGGTTTAGGGTTTAGGGTTTAGGGTTCAGGGTTCAGGGTTTAGGGTTTAGGGTTCAGGGTTTAGGGTTTAGGGTTTAGGGTTAGGTCAAGGGTTTTGTCTTCAGAAGGCTTGCAAGACTCCAGGCCTCAAGCCGGCTAGCCTCGAGACTTAGCCCTATCCCTCCCGACGCCCTCGACGAAACCCTTTAAGGCCGCAGCCCTGAATATACCATAGGGGCCTTAATAATTCCTATGCTATTTTAGAGGTTCCTTCTATTAAATATAATATCCCAAAACCCTATTCTAACTAGTAAGGACCCTATATTACCCTATATAGCCCTTCTTAAAGCCCTTACGAGGACTCGGACCCTGAGCCCGGGACCCAAGTAAGTGAGCTCCAAAGCCTCCACCGGAGGCCGGGGCGGAAATGGACGCTCAGGACTCGCTTTCAAAATGCACACCGATGCATCTCATGGCTGCTGAGGCCCTCTTCTGGCATTGGGGCTTCTACACCTGAATCGGTTGAGGCTTTCCATAAGTGTATATGCATGGATGTATGTATGTATGTATGTATTTGTGCATGTATGTATGTATGTA